GCCTAAGCCCCTAAAGCCCTGAAACCTCTAAGGCCCTAAAGACTCAAAAGCGCCTAAACCCCCAAAGCCCTGCACCCCCTAAGGCCCTAAAGACTCAAAAGCGCCTAAACCCCTAAAGCCCTGAAGCCCCTAAGGCCCTAAAGACTCAAAAGCGCCTAAACCCCCAAAGCCCTAAAGACTCAAAAGCGCCTAAACCCCTAAAGCCCTAAAGCCCCTAAGGCCCTAAAGACCTCAAAAGCGCCTAAACCCCCAAAGCCCTGCACCCTAAGGCCCCAAAGACTCAAAAGCGCCTAAACCCCTAAAGCCCTGAAACCCCTAAGGTCCTTAAAGCCCTGAAGCCCCTAAGGCCCTAAAGACTCAAAAGCGCCTAAACCCCTAAAGCCCTAAAGCCCCTATAAGCCCTAAAGACCTCAACCGGCGAGACCCCGAAAGGCAGTGGCTGCCTTCCAAGCCGGGGCTTCCTTGGACGTCGGACCAGAACGAGCAGGTCCTATAATAGGGTTTAGGGTTAAGGGTTAAGGGCTTGGGGTTTAGGGTTTAGGGTCTGGGGTTTAGGGTTGGGGGATTAGGGGTTAGGGTTTAGGGGTTTAGGGGTTAGGGTTTAGGGTTTAGGGTTTAGGGTTTAGGGTTTAGGGTTTAGGGTTATAATATAGGAGCCTTAATATTAGAGGTGCTATATAGGCTTAGGGTTTAGGGTTTTTGGGGGTTCCTTACTATAATCACACTATAAAAGACCCCAAAACCCTAGTTTAAGTATTAAGGCCCCCTATATTAATGTGTCCCCGATGGGTATGAGCCCCCCTGCAGTCTGAAAGGTAGGGGGCCTTAGTAATTAGAATAGGGTCTTGGGGTCCCTTTCTAAGGGTTCCTTCAAGGGTTCTATATAGGCTATTATATGGGTTTAGGGTGTAGGGGCTTGAAAAATTGGAATAGGGTTTTGGGATAGATTATACCATAGCTATTATAATGAACCCACCAAAATACGGTTGATGATACAAACCAGATAATAAGGAATATACCGTAATTGCCATCGTTTAGGGTCCTTACGGTAATGCAGGATTAATATCATCAAGAGTAGTAGTGGTATTTAAACTTAGGGTTTCTATAGTCCGGTTTGAACGTCGCGTCATCATGGAAGGGTTCAGTCGGGCGTTGGGGTCGTGGGCTCAGGATGTAGGTCCTGGACGATTCGATGGACCTGCGCCGCGTCCCGACAATCGGTGTATGAGCCGGGCACTTTCGCAGCCCAGAAACAACACCCTAAACCCTAAACCCTAAGCCCTAAGCCCTAAAGCCTAAACTCTAAGCCCTAAACCCTAAACCCAACTCCCAAACCC